ATGTTTATATTCATATACATTTCAATGAAGTATACTCAATTCAATTTGCTACATTAGCCCTGTGCAATTTCACAATTTCATAGCTTAAAATGTATTAATAGGAAGCTGTAAATAAAAATGATAAGAAAATTCTAAAATGACTGAGAAAGTTATGAATAAAATTAACATCCAGAATGTCTCGTATTTAAAAAGTGGTGAAATTTTAAGGTAGATTGTTTGACAGAAAATTGTCATAAATTCATAATTACAATATTGAATTCTTAAAACCAAACAAATTACAAAAAATGAAATCATTAAAACATCTGAAAATACCTATATACAAGAACAAACTATTAATATATATTATAATATTGATTTGACAACTAAATAATTCTTTAGCAGTTACTACAAACAGTGGGGTACAATAAGACCATTAGTGAAAACGATTCTAATTTGCACTATTTACTAATTTCAATTTTTTTTCATTAAAACATTATATGACCAGCATAACGTTTTGAACAGAAAGTAAAATATTTAAAATATTTACATGAATTTCAGAATTTATTAGTATTTTTTGCACTTTAACACAGCGAGCTATCATAGAATCTACTTGAGAGTAGCCTGAATATATATATATATATATATATACACACACACACATATATATAATATATATATATATATATATATATATATATATACACATACACACACAGTTTTTCCTCAAGTATTTTGACAGCTATTGAAGTATATTTGGTCTGATTTTTACTATTTACAATTGTCCCATTAAAAAAACTGCATACCCAGCAACTACAATTACAAAATAAGATAATATAAAAGGTTTTTTAAATTTTTTTTTCATTTACTCCACAAATGCCCCCTGATTGGCCAATTAAGTTTAAAGAACACTGATGTGACTTTAGATTTCTGCATATATTATAATACCACCCCGACCTGCCCCACCCCCAGGTACATCTCAGACCTGTGGGACACACTGATATTATATATATGCCATATACACACACACACACACACACACACACAAATACTGCATCGGAGAGAAACTGAGTGAGTAATAGAGAGAAAGTAAAAGAGAAGCTTTAACTCCCACTCTGTGTTTATTTCTGGGGCGTCTCTGAGTTACCCAACAGCGCTCGCTACACAACTTCACCAGCACAGCAACACAATAACAGAGCTGCTGCTCAGTGTGCCAAGTTACAAAAGAGCTTCAGCCAAACTAAAATTAATCATCTCAGCTTCTCCTGCAGCTCAGCATCCCCACTCTTCTGCACAACTTCAACAAATACACTGAAAAAACAAAATGCTTCACTAACAAACTGATATGTCGGCATGGGGCTGGGCAATATGACGCTATTTATCATTATCGTGAGTCATTTGTACTCAGTTTGTCAGAGAATTGCTTTTAACATGGAACTACAGCCTCTTTGCGGCCTGGACCAACATGTCAGATTGTTATATATCATACATCATGAAAATTTATCGAAGTATTGTGATATTTTCACCATATCGCCCAGCTCTGGGTCATTGTATATGAATAGCCTACGGATGATCTACAGATGTTCAAACTGTGAAAAAACTATCTGGTGATTCTCAAGAGCATTATGGTCAGGATTAGGACCAGGGTTAAGATTAGGATTACGTTTTGGGTTGAGGTTAAGGTTAGGGTTAGAATGAGCATTTTTGAAATTTTGAACTTTGAAATTATTATTATTTATACACATCTGTTGTTTGCAGTGTCACACTTCTACGGTGTGGGGTCTCAGAGACCCCCTCTATATATGAATAGGCCAGACAACATAAAAAAATATCATTATCATTTAGTCTAATAAATGTCAGTTCATTATATAAAAAAGGAAAACAAAAATTTGAAGGTAAAAAAATAATAATTTTGAAATTATTATTAATATGATTTACGCTTGCCGTATATAAAGCACTGATGTCACTGGGATCTAAAACAATAAGGAAGTAAATCCAATCTTAATAAAACATGAGGGTTAAAACTGATTTGGTTTAGAAAGCATCCACAATGGAGTGTGACAGAGATGTGACCACATCTTCTAACTCTGTTTGACCGAATGGAAATGTGTGCCATAATTTATTGTTCATATTATGGTTATTTTGTTTGATGGACCTGCATCTTAATTCCAAAATATTAATTAGCATTTACTACACTAAACTGTAATGTCTGATATTGTACTTTACAATGTACAGTGCATTGCAAAACCACTCCTGTTTAATTACATGCTTTTTTCATTTTAGTGGAAATAACTTAAATAAGTTTTATTTTTTATTTTGTGTCAATTTTAGTGCAGTTTTATTTGCTGAGTTTATCATATTGGAAAAAGAAAACACAAAATATAAAACATGCCATAACTTTTGCACAGGCCACATATACTAAATAAACAGTAAATAAGCCATAATCGTGCATTAAAATGTGCAGTAGTGTGTCTCTGTCGAGGACATGTTCACTTATTTTCAGAAAATCTACGAAAACGTCTTTTGACCAGGGGCACCCAAACTTTTGCACACAACTGTATATTTTCAAACATGTCAAGTAGTTTGAAGAAGGCCTTTTTTTTATATATATGTTAGTGTGGTCAGATGTCCTCTTTAAGATAGGTATGCTTAGTTAACCAAAAGATTATGTACATTTATATAACAGAAGCTTCATTAATCTGAAAGTTCAGATTTTTCACAGGATGAGGATATAATGTATACAACATACCAACTGCATGGTACAAATATTTTTCTAATAATTTGTAAAAATATCAGGTGTCATATTTCATAAGTTCTGTTGGCTTTTTAATCCTACTAAAATCATTAAGTTATAGGTCAGCACTCCACCACAGCACAGCACAAACCTTCAGCCCCAACACGCTTAAAAACAGCTTTAATGCTAAAGCCTGAAAGCCTTATTCAATTGATAATCATTCTGCAATATCTCCATGGCAACTGACACCAGACGATCAACCAAATCAATGAGTTCTGAACGGAACATGCATGGCAACAACATGCAAGCGCCCGCGGGACGAAAAGAGCCATCAAGACTATTAATGCTCTAAATCATTTTATCTTAAATAAAGGATCTGGCAAAAACAAACAAACAACACTGACAACACAGCTGTATCACACTCTGCACTCACAGTATCATTAATGTACACAGCGTAAATGATAAATAAAACAAATTAGGGCTGTACAGTACTGACACAAAATGTGATGTTCAATAAAGCTGTCAATATTACAATTATCATATAAGAAGCGATGAATTATTAATAAGTGTGCCAATGACTAATTGTGATGGAAGTACAGACTATTTTTGAATATAACTAACGTCTCCTTTAAGCAAACAGCAAAATCAAAAAATTTCAAAAGCACTTCACTATTGTGCAAAATAAAAAGAAAGGAAATAGGAAAGCACATTTTTATGCACTGAAAGGCTGAGAAACAGTCAGCATTACAGCAGTGTTTTATAAAAAGGCTACATACATATATATATATATATATATATATATATATATATATATATATATATATATATACATACACATATATGTAAAGTTACCATTTTGGAGAATTTTGTTCCGATATATGTCGATATATATATATATATATATATATATATATATATATATATATATCGACATATATCGGAACAAAATTCTCCAAAATGGTAACTTTACAGGAGAAGGAAAAAACATACTTTACTGTTAATGTAAGTCAGTGGAACCAAAATTTTTCCAAGCAATTTTGGGTCATTTCTTTTGGTTCATTCATCATGAATATATATGCTATATATATATATGTAGAGAGAGAGAGAGAGAGACAGAGAGAGAGAGAGGCACACAAGAACAAATAAATATTTTAGTGGTTAAGTTATTCGCTCTCCACATGGAAGGACAGGGTTCATTCTCAGTGCAGAGAAGCGCTCATCAGGCTTCTAACGGTTTGTGCCGGCAGTGATATGATGTATGGCGCTGAGTGTATGAGGTCATTTGATCTGTTCTGTCATCAGGTGAAAATGTGTGTTTGTCACAGAAACTCGTATCGCAATAACGCACAATATGGAAAATTCATTTTGTACAACTGTGTTTCGATTGCAATCGTCATCAAGATTTTATTTTTTATTTTCGGTTATGCGTAAATTTCTTTTTGCTGTACTATTTTGATTTATAGTCGCACAAGCGTTTGGGTACCCCCGGCCAAATAAATTACACTGTTGATTTTCTGAGTGAGAATAAGTTACCACATCATGACAGGCTTAAATTTGGCTCTTTTTTTTGGCAAATTTTAGCATGATTTTTATGTTTTTGTTTAGTTTTGTATTTTTATTTTTTATTGTTTTATATTTTATTTTTTTTCCAATACATTTAATTCAGCAAATAAAATGTAAATGTGCTTTAACACATTATTTAATTTGACCAGGGGAACCTAAACGTTTGCAGACTATTATAAACGGGATATTTGGGATACAAATAATTGAAGCACACTAGCAACTTGAGTCATTCTGCGAATTACATTCATTTACATCAACACTTAAACCTTGTAAACCTGTGAGCTGTTTTGTGAATATTCTGCAATAACTTTATTATTTTTACAGATACGACATGTAGTATAAAATAAATTCTGTTACTGTTTCAACATTTTTTACAATAACTGTCTGTTTTATAAAATTAAAGTTATGTAGGAATGTAGCACCTGCTTAAAAAAGTATTGCTAAAATACAAAACATTGCTTATAATTAATTCTTCATGACTGGACTACATTTCCTCTCTCAAATAATGCAGAATGTAAAAGCAGCTTCAAACTGAGTTCCTTTCAGCTCTCAGTCCCCACAGGGAGCAACACAACACCTCTAAAGTGTCTCTTACATGCACAGCTAAACGTATTTATGGAGAAAAAACCGACATTCGCTCTGAACACAATCTTATAACTGGGGCACAGCGCAGCACGGCACTCATTTGCTGTAAAACTGCATATCCCATAATGCTCAGCTTACTTACCGGTCTCCCTTTGGTTTGCGTTTGAGGGGCGGGGCCTTCCCTTTGGGCCGTCGGTCGCTGCCGGAGCAGGGGCCCCCGCCAGGCCCGGTTACCCTGAGCGACTCCAGCCCTTTGCTGGACCTCTTAAAGGTAAACTCCACCTGCTCCCCTTCACGCAGGCTCCGGAAGCCCTCCATCACCAACTTACTCTGCACAAACACACAGCGCAGCACAATAGCATCATTACATCTTACTGAAAAACAAAAAATCTAATTATTGTAAATGTGCATACATCAATCAAATACCATCAGCTTGTTCTAAACAGTATTTAGTGTGTGAATCAAAAAACATTACTATAAGCACCAATTTTCTTTAAACACAATAAAATATGTATTTTTACTTTATTACGTTATATTAGCTGCTACATTATTACTTTGTGCCAGTTTAGACACAAATCATTAGTAATGCAGCTATCAAATATTTTAATTTTAGAATATACTATTAAATGTTCTAAGTTTTAGTAATAATATTCTATAAAAAAGTTCAAAATGTGTTTCATTTTTAAGAATGGAATGGAAAAAAAACTGATCTTGTGTGCAGAGGTCACAACTGTGTGCTGCAGGCGTGACAAACATTTGGTTTAATAAGAAGAACTCCCCCAGAACTGTGTCGTATAAAAGGTTTAAAAAAAGTCTGTTATTTTACCTCTTTCGAAGATTTTAATGATCGAATATATTGGACAATCAATATATGTATCAGCACAAACATATATATATATATACATATATATACATACATATATATATATATATATATATATATATATATATATATATATATATATATATATATATATATATATATATTCACACATATGTATTTAAAGATCACTGGTGCTATAGTAATATATATATATATTTGCTGCTGTCAGAACAAAACCTCATATCTCCATTTTTGTGGTTTTCAGGTTTTGACATAATTTGAAAAAGCCTGTTTCATAATGAATGAACCAAATGAAATGACCCAAAATTACACAGAAAAAAGTCCACTGACTTACACTGAGAGTAAAGTATGTTTTTCCTTCTCCTGTAAAGTTACCATTTTGGAGATATGAGGTTGTTGTCAGAACAGCATTGAATACCCAAAAACTGGAAAAAACGAACAGTGTTAGAAACAACGTAACGATTTTTTTTCCAAGTAATGCTGGACCATTTGTATTGGTCAGTTTGTCATAAAAATTTGACAAAATGAAAAAGACAATTCAAGTTTTCAAATCGCGTACAAAAAGGTCAAAACTGTCAAAAATGGAGATAAAGCAGATATATCAATTTTGTTACTAACACTAAACACTAAATAACATGGTATACAGTTTCCCTAACTTTAAACAGAATAATAATTTCTTGATTTGTATGTTTTATAGTGTTCAGTATGAAATGAAAAATTATTATGCTACATTAGTAACATAATGAGAAAGCAGTGGTAGCAGCTGGTCAAGGTTGGGGGGAGGGGGGTATCGCAACATGTGGACATTTGTATCGCGGTTTCAGTCTCAGTTTCAGAATCATTACACAAATATATATATACGCACAAAGATGGAAATCTTTCCGTGCCTCTTATTATTCAAACAGATAATTCTGAAAATAAAAAAGCAGTGATACAATTCAATTCCACCAAACTGCACGATTTCAAAATGAGCTTTACATTAACGTATCTCCCTCAAATTCTCTCCGATGTAAAGTCCAGCTGGTCCAGGCTGGGGAGAGTGCAGCAGGTTCAATGGAAATTCAATTTCTATTCCAGTTCGCTCCTCATTTCCAGAGTGAATCAGTCTGCAGACCCTCATTATCAGCACAAGGCTGAGGGGAGCGGTATGAGTTTGCGCTGCTTACGTCTGCACTACTGCAAATATCTCTCATCACATTAGAGCTGCACAACACATCATTTATGAATCGTTATCATGACACTGAACTTTGCAGTAATGGTATTGTTGAAGGTCACAATGTATGCCATATTTTGCACATGTAGCACATTTTAATTCACAGCTGCTGTTTAGCCATAATTCTTCCGTATGTTTAGCTCCTGTTCAGTATGTTTAGCTCCAGTTCAGTATGATCAGCTCCAGTTCAGTATGATTAGCTCCAGTTCAGTATGATCAGCTCCAGTTTAGTATGTTTAGCTCCAGTTCAGTATGTTTAGCTCGTTCAGTATGTTTAGCTCAGTTCAGTATTTCAGCTCCAGTTCAGTATGTTTAGCTCCAGTTCAGTATGATCAGCTCCAGTTCAGTATGTTTAGCTCCAGTTCAGTATGATCAGCTCCAGTTCAGTATGTTTAGCTCCAGTTCAGTATGATCAGCTCCAGTTCAGTATGATTAGCTCCAGTTCAGTATGATCAGCTCCAGTTCAGTATGATCAGCTCCAGTTCAGTATGTTTAGCTCCAGTTCAGTATGATCAGCTCCAGTTTAGTATGTTTAGCCTTAGTTCAGTATGTTTAGCTCCAGTTCCTCAGTATGTTTAGCTCCAGTTCAGTATGATTAGCTCCAGTTCAGTATGTTTAGCTCCAGTTCAGTATGTTTAGCTCCAGTTCAGTATGTTTAGCTCCAGTTCCTCAGTATGTTTAGCTCCAGTTCTTCAGTATGTTTAGCTCCAGTTCAGTATGTTTAGCTCCAGTTCCTCAGTATGTTTAGCTCCAGTTCTTCAGTATGTTTAGCTCCAGTTTTTCAGAATGTTCAGCTCCAGTTCTTCAGTATGTTTAGCTCCAGTTTTTCAGAATGTTCAGCTCCAGTTCCTCAGTATGTTTAGCTTCAGTTGCTAAGTATGTTTAGCTCCAGTTCTTCAGTATGATTAGCTCCAGTTCTTCAGTATGTTTAGCTTCAGTTGCTCTGTATGTTTAGCTCCAGTTCAGTAAGTTCAGCCCCCGTTCAGTATGTTTAGCTCCAGTTCCACAGTATGTTTAGCTCCAGTTCAGTATGTTTAGCCCCTGTTCAGTATGATTAGCTCCAGTTCCTCAGTATGTTTAGCTCCAGTTCAGTATGTTTAGCTCCAGTTCAGTATGATCAGCTCCCGTTCAGTATGATCAGCTCCAGTTCAGTATGTTTAGCTCCCGTTCAGTATGTTTAGCTCCAGTTCAGTATGTTTAGCTCCTGTTCAGTATGATTAGCTCCAGTTCAGTATGATCAGCTCCAGTTCAGTATGATCAGCTCCAGTTCAGTATGTTTAGCTCCAGTTCAGTATGATCAGCTCCAGTTCAGTATGATTAGCTCCAGTTCAGTATGATCAGCTCCTGTTTTGTATGTTTAGCTCCAGTTCAGTATGATCAGCTCCAGTTCAGTATGATCAGCTCCAGTTCAGTATGATTAGCTCCAGTTCAGTATGATTAGCTCCAGTTCAGTATGTTTCGCTCCAGTTCAGTATGATCAGCTCCAGTTCAGTATGATTAGCTCCAGTTCAGTATGATCAGCTCCAGTTTAGTATGTTTAGCTCCAGTTCAGTATGTTTACTTTCAGTTGCTCAGTATGTTTAGCCTTAGTTCAGTAAGTTCACCTCCAGCTCAGTATGTTTAGCTCCAGTTCAGTATGATCAGCTCCCGTTCAGTATGATCAGCTCCAGTTTCGTATGTTTAGCTTCAGTTGCTCAGTATGTTTAGCCTTAGTTCAGTATGTTTAGCTCCAGTTCAGTATGATCAGCTCCAGTTCAGTATGATTAGCTCCAGTTCAGTAAGTTTACCTCCAGTTCAGTATGATCAGCTCCAGTTCAGTATGTTTAGCTCCAGTTCAGTATGTTCAGCTCCAGTTCTTCAGTATGTTTAGCTCCAGTTCCTCAGTATGTTTAGCTCCAGTTCTTCAGTATGTTTAGCTCCAGTTCTTCAGTATGTTTAGCTCCAGTTTTTCAGAATGTTCAGCTCCAGTTCCTCAGTATGTTTAGCTCCAGTTTTTCAGAATGTTCAGCTCCAGTTCTTCAGTATGTTTAGCTCCAGTTTTTCAGAATGTTCAGCTCCAGTTCCTCAGTATGTTTAGCTCCAGTTCTTCAGTATGATTAGCTCCAGTTCAGTATGTTTAGCTTCAGTTGCTCTGTATGTTTAGCTCCAGTTCAGTATGTTCAGCCCCCGTTCAGTATGATTAGCTCCAGTTCCTCAGTATGTTTAGCTCCAGTTCAGTATGTTTAGCCCCCGTTCAGTATGATTAGCTCCAGTTCCTCAGTATGTTTAGCTCCAGTTTCGTATGTTTAGCTCCAGTTCAGTATGTTTAGCTCCAGTTCAGTATGTTCAGCTCCAGTTTTTCAGTATGTTTAGCTCCAGTTCCTCAGTATGTTTAGCTCCAGTTTCAGTATGTTTAGCTCCAGTTCCTCAGTATGTTTAGCTCCAGTTCTTCAGTATGTTTAGCTCCAGTTTTCAGAATGTTCAGCTCCAGTTCTCAGTATGTTTAGCTCAGTTCTAGTATGTTTAGCTCCAGTTCTCAGTATGTTTAGCTCCAGTTCAGTATGTTTAGCCCAGTTCAGTATGTTTAGCTCAGTTCTCAGTTTAGCTCCAGTTCTGTATGTTCAGCCCCCGTTCAGTATGATTAGCTCCAGTTCCTCAGTATGTTTAGCTCCAGTTCAGTATGTTCAGCTCCAGTTCAGTATGATTAGCTCCAGTTCCTCAGTATGTTTAGCTCCAGTTCAGTATGTTCAGCCCCAGTTCAGTATGTTTAGCTCCAGTTCCTCAGTATGTTAGCTCCAGTTCGTATGTTTAGCCCCAGTTCAGTATGTTTAGCTCCAGTTCTCAGTATGTTTAGCTCCAGTTCAGTATGTTTAGCTCCAGTTCTTCAGTATGTTTAGCTCCAGTTCAGTATGTTTAGCTCCAGTTCTTCAGTATGTTTAGCTCCAGTTTCGTATGTTTAGCTCCAGTTCTTCAGTATGTTTAGCCCCAGTTCCTCAGTATGTTTAGCTCCAGTTTCGTATGTTTAGCTCCAGTTCTTCAGTATGTTTAGCCCCAGTTCCTCAGTATGTTTAGCTCCAGTTCAGTATGTTTAGCTCCAGTTCAGTATGTTTAGCTCCAATTTCGTATGTTTAGCTCCAGTTCTTCAGTATGTTTAGCTCCAGTTTCGTATGTTTAGCTCCAGTTCTTCAGTATGTTTAGCCCCAGTTCAGTATGATTAGCTCCAGTTCCTCAGTATGTTTAGCCCCAGTTCAGTATGATTAGCTCCAGTTCCTCAGTATGTTTAGCCCCAGTTCA